CTTGAATGCATGTTTACTTGTCTCATGTTTTCCCCGCCCCACTCCGTGTGATGCAGGGAACATCAAGAAACCACCTCCGGAGGTGGTGCTCAAGTGGATTTCACGGGCCTGGAAGGCGGTGCCCGCCGACCTCATCAAGAAAGCCTTCCTCACTTGCGGCATCAGCAACGCCCTTGATGGGAGCGAAGACAAACTGGTGCTAGCGCACCGAAGGTGCCAGTTGTCCCATGAGGTGGAGGTGGACGACGACATCCAGGCAGATGGGTTCTGGGGCAACAACTCCACGGAGCCTGAGTCGGACGAGGAGGAAGAAAAGGCAGTAGGGTAGACTAGGCAGGTTGAAAGGTGTAGTGCAGGACAGCAGAGACCACCCTTGTATGTGATAGTCATTCTTGATGGAAAGTTTAGAACATGTAGGCTAGGTAGGTTAAAAAAAATGAAATTCTTTTTTTTTTTTAACTAAACGAGTGCGCTTATAATAAGTCAAGAATTCCAAAGGGGTGCGCTTATAATTGAGGATCGGCCATAAGCGCATTGCTCCAGATACAAGTCTCAGAATCCCAACCACTAGACCATTGGGATAAAAGGGCTTGTTTCAGTAGCGGGTCAGTGCGCCCATAACCCCCCAGGCAATCGTGCCTGTAACCCTTCCCTAGGATCGATCGGGGATCACCAGTGGACCTCTGACACCCCCCCGCACTGGGATGCCCGAAGTGCATACACCGGGATTCGAACCCGAGACCTTCGCTCTGATACCATCTCAGAATCCCAACCACTAGACCATTGGGATAAAAGGGCTTGTTTCAGTAGCGGGTCAGTGCGCCCATAACCCCCCAGGCAATCGTGCCTGTAACCCTTCCCTAGGATCGATCGGGGATCACCAGTGGACCTCTGACAACAAGCGCATGCGCTTAACATAGGCCTGCGCTTCTATCCGGGGCCATACGGTACGTTTCGGCTGACAACTCAACAAAACCCCCAAGTCTCAAAAGAAGGGAAAAATGAAACAAACAAAACACAACACAAACATGTCAAGATAGCAAGCAGGAATGATTGCATTGAATGAATTGTGGGTACAAGTACTAACCCTTGTATTGGGTTGTACCCCATATGGGCAACCCCACTATAGCCTACACACAACTAGCACATATATGGTTTGATACACCCCCCACAGGCAAAATGGGGAGAACAAGGGGTGACAAGACCGGTCAAGAAAAGCAAAGCAAGCTCAGGGTGGATCACAGCGTCACCACACACTCTGAGCACAAGCAAAAGGGCCACAAGGCCAGCTCACAGGCAGAGGTGTCAAACTATATATATGCTATGGTATAATGGGTAGGCTATAGTGGGGTAGCCAACATGGGGTACAACCCCTTGAGGTTTTGTACTTGTACCAACTCTCTCGATAGTTTACACCATTCCTGCTTGCTATCTTGACATGGTTTCAGAGCAGTAGGTCCGTAGGACCGTTTTTTTTTTTGCCCACCATTACCTAGTGATCGACTACGGTTACCACGTTATCCCACACCCTGCCCTGCGCTGCGCTGTCAGCGCGCGCCCTGCCCTGCCCTGCCCTGCGCGCACATGCGCCCTGCCCTGCGCCAGCGCCTTACCTTGCGCCAGCGCCCTGCCCTGCGCCAGCGCCCTGCCCTGCGTCCTGCTGCAGCCCGCGCCCTGCGGCAGCTGCACGTCGCGCCTTGCTGCCCTGCGCGTCGCACCCTACGGGAGCCTGTGCGTCGCGCTCTGCTGCCCCGCGCGTCACGCTCTACGGCAGCCCACGCGTCACGCGCTGCTGCCCCGCGCGTCGTGCTCTGCTGCCCCGTGCGTCGCGCCCTACAGCAGCCCGCCCGTCGCATGCTGCCGCCCCACGCGTCGCGCCCTACGGCAGCCCGCGTGTCGCGCGCTGCTGCCCTGCGCGTCGTGCTCTGCTGCAGCCCGCGCGTCGCGGCCTGCTGCCCTGCGCGTCGCGCCCTGCTGCAGCCAGCGCGCCGCGCCCTGCTGCCCTCCACAGCGCGCGTCCTGCTGCCTGCGCCGCCCAGGCCGAGCCGCGCCACCCGACACGATCCGCCCTTTTGCTCGTGCTACTGCTGGTGCTGTTGGAGGTGCTGCTAGGAGTGCTGGAGGTGCTGCAGCTTAGCCTCATGAGCCACTCTGCTGTTCGTCTTACTGCTGCTGCTACTCGTACTACTGCCTTCACTCCGTACTGCCCTAGAGGTCGCGCTCCTCCTAGCTTGCCCGCCATGACTTCACTCTGTAGGAGCGGTGGGAGTGGTGACGGTGGTGGTGGCAGCAGTGGGAGTCGTGGCGGCCGTAGTAGCAGTCACTGTGGTGCTGTGTGGTGTGGAGTCTCTGGCGGTGGCCAGATGCAGCTATGGCGACGTCCGACCCTTACGCCCCAGCAGCTTCGTGAGTGGCTTTACCAGCGTGGGACGTCTCCGAGTCCTGGTCGTTGCCCGTACGTCATTCGTACAAGTCGTCCAGCTGGTCAGACCTGTGGGACACCTGGTCACGCACAGTCCCGCTGCTTCGCCTATTTGACTGACGCCTGGCATGCAGATTTTGGCGACAAGGCTGAGACCCCCCACTGGCTTGAGCTGCTTAGGTCGGGCGTTGATGTCTTTGCTTTGGACTATGATGCCATCGTTACTGCCATGTCTGGTTTGCCTGGTGGTGCTGAGAGTGACTGTTACCTCTATGTGTAGTACGACCCCAGTATAGAGGTTGCTGCTCTAGGTGCTAGTGAGGCTGCTGCCTTGGGTGCTGGTGAGTCTGCTCTCTCAGGTACTGCGCCTGCTGAGGCCTTGCACACCTTCACGCTTGACTCAGGTGCTTCCCGTTGCTTCTTCCGTGACATTACCGCACTCACACCACTCCTTGCACCTGATGCAATCTCTCTGGCTGACCCCTCAGGGGGCCTAGTTCTTGCACGGTCCACCACTGTGCTACTGTGCCCGGCGGTTCCGTCTGGCTTCACTATCAGGTCTCCACCTCCCTTCGTTCTCGACGAACTTGGTGAGCAACGCTGTCCTCCAGGATCATTGGTTTGACACCTTTACCCCTGGAGGACAGCGCTTGGCGATCTATACGTGCTCCAGGACTGGCCGTCACTTGGCCACTTTCACCCGTCGGCCATGGTCGAGTCTTTACACACTGACGACTGTGTCTCCTCACGTAGCTGTTGTCGGTCAGGTGTCTGCGTCAGGTCTGGTAGCCTCCCCTTGCGAGTGTCGCTCCCTGTCACACCAGACTCTTCTCTAGCACCACCGCCTATGTCACCCCTCCTTGCCACGTCTCCGTGGCATGCACCGACGTCTCCTTGTGTCTGGTCTTCCCAGGTCTCTCCCTCCCCTCCCTGCCTCCCCTGTGCCGCCCTGCCTTCCTTGTGTCGAGGGGCGGCTGCGCCCCTCCTCACTCCTCCTCATTTCCCCCGACAGAAGCTCCTCTGCAGACCCTCCACCTGGACGTGTGGGGCCCAGCCCGCGTTCGTGGATAGGGCGGTGAGGGGTACTTTCTGCTGGTTGTCGACGACTTCTCGCGTTACACCACGGTCTTCCCCTTGTGCACCAAGGGTGAGGTCCCTGCTGTCCTGATCCCTTGGCTCCGAGCAGTTCGTCTTCAGCTCCGCCGGAGGTTCCGCCAGGACCATCCAATCCTGCGTCTGCACTCTGACAGAGCTGGTGAGTTCACCTCGAACCTCTTGCAGGCCTTCTGTCAGGGGGAGGGCATCGAGCACTCGTTCACGCTTCCGGGCTCACCGCAGCAAAATTGGGTTGCTGAGCGCCGCATTGGCTTAGTCATGGAGGTCGCTCGTACCTCCTTGATCCATGCGGCGACTCCCCATCTTCTGTGGCCGTTTGCGGTCCGGTACGCCGCGCAGCAGCTCAACCTCTGGCCCCGTGTCTCCTTGCCGGAAACCTCGCCCACACTGCGTTGGACGGGGGAGGTTGGCGATGCGTCGCGCTTCTGGGTTTGCGGTGCTCGTGCCCTTGTCCGCGATACGTCTACGGACAAGCTCTCCTCCCGCACCATTTCATGTGTCTTCCTTGGTTTTGTCCCTGACGCGCATGGCTGGCAATTCTACCACCCCACCTCACGCCGTGTCCTGCCCTCTCATGACGTCACCTTTGACTAGTCGGTTCCTTTCTACCGTCTCTTCCCCTACCGCACTGCCCCTCTCCCTCCCCCGCCGCTTTTCCTCGCTCCAGGTCCCCCTCCGGTAGACCCCCTCCCCCCTCAGGGTCCTGCTCCTTCAGGTGTGTCTCAGGTAGACCCGCCCCCCGTGACTGAGCCTGTAGAGGTCACTAGCGACTCAGGTGCTGCTGCGGGAGGGGCTGCTAGGGGTGCTGCGTGTGGGGGTGCTGAGCCCGCGTATAAGGTGCTGGGGAGTGCGGAGCCTGGGGATGCTGAGCCTACGGCTGCGGAGTCTGGGAATGCTGAGCCGGAGGGTGCCGGGTCGGAGGGTGCTGAGTCTGCTGCCGTTTTTCTGGGTCTCGTTCCACGACGCGACCATGACTCACCACAGCAGGCACGAGAGTGGCTTGCGTCGCGTACCCGCCTGAGGAGTCGTGCTACTGGAGCTGCTTGTCGTGGAGGCGCTGGGAGTGTTGGTGTCTCTGATCCTAGAGGTGCTCATACTGGATAGACCGGAGCTGCCGGGACTGGTACTGCTCCTGGAGTTGGAGGTGTCGGCTCTGGGGGTGCTGCTGCTCGCGGTTGGCGCTGGTGCTGGTTCCCGGTGCTGGCGGCTGGCGCTGGTGCTGGTTCCTGGTGCTGGCGGCTGGCGCTGGTGCTGGTTCCTGGTGCTGGTAGCTGGTGCTGGTGCTAGTTCCTGGTGCTGGTGCTGGTACTGGTTCCTGGCGCTGGTGCTGGTGCCTGGTGTTGGTTCCTGTTGCTGGCGCGGGTCTGCTGGTTCGTTTACTGGCGGGCTTGCGGGTCGTGGACGATCTGTGGCATGCAGTGGTGGAGCAGCAGCTTCTCCCGCCACTCCCGCCACGTTTGCCATGCCCTCCACTCCCGCCACGCCCGCCATTCCCGCCACTCCCAACGCCCCCGCCACTTCCGCCACTCCCTTCACAGCAGCTGCGAAGTCGACGGGAGGGCGGGCGGGGAAGAGGTGTGACTGGCGGATGCTGGCGCTGGCGGCCGCCACTCCCTTCCCCCTTTCCTCTTCGCCCCCACAGCGCCCGTCGCTGTTTCTGCGCCACGGAGCCGCGACGAGGCAGCGTGACGACGGCGGGTCCATTGGCAGGCTTGCTCGCGGGCTTGTTGGCGGGTTCGTCGGCGGGCGTGCTCACACCGCGCTGGCGGGTCCGTCGGTGGGCTTGCTGGCGCTCTCGTTGGCGGGTCCGACAGCGGGTCCGTCGGCGGGTTTGCTGGCGGGTCCGTCGGCGGGTTTGCTGGTGGGTCCGTCGGCGTGCTTGCTGGCGGGTCCGATCCTGGCGTTCCTAGTGCGTTCCTTGCATGCGCGGTGGCGTGCATTGCTGGTAGTGCGCGGGCGACGGGCGGAAAACGGGAAAGTGCTCACAAGGCGCACTAAGGGGCGCGCCATTGCGAGCGCTAATGGTGGGCCCATTTGAAAACGGTCCCAATTGGACCTAGCTCTATACCATGTTACGATACGGCCGTAACTTAGGAGCCGGGTTTAGGGAGGGCCTAGGCTTAGTAGCCTAGGCCAAGCAAGTGTCGAGGTCAAGGCCAAGAGAGTGTCGAGAGAAATTGACCAAACAAAATAGCTTCTCTAAAGCAAAGCATACAAGATATAGTCGAGATACACAAACAAGAGGTGCACCACCAACAACAAAGAGTAATAACTACAGTAACTACAACAAGCAGGATAAATCTCAAATATAGCTTTGACATCTGGAGCTGCTGGAGGAGCTGGAGCTGGAGGTGCTGCTGCAGGAGTCACTAGAGCTGGAGGTGCTGCTGCTGGAGGCGCTGGAGCTAGAGGTTCTGGAGCTGCTGGAGGCGCTGGAGCTGGAGGTGCTGCTGCTGGAGGCCTTGGGGCTGGAGGTTTTGGAGCTGCTGGAGGCGCTGGAGCTACTAGTACAGGTGGCACTGCACCCCCGTGAGTGTTTTTCGCTCCGCCGTCACCGTCGTCTTTGCCACTGCCTGACTCTGTGCTTCGCTAGGTTCTTAGGCTCCCCTCTTCTACTGGCCTCCCCTTACAGCCCGGCGCACCACTGCCCGCTCCTTCTCCTTACAATGAGCAGACAGACTCGCTTACACGGCGCCGTGAGCCTGCGTCTCGTCCTGCCTCGCCTGTTCGCGCGCGTCGCACTAGTAGTCATGTTCCTTGTGAGCGTCCATCTCCTGTCCCTTGCACGCACGCTATGGCACTTCGTCCTTCCTCTATTCCACAGCGTGTTCCCCTACTGTCCGCTCCTGCATCTTCTCTGCATGACGTTAAGGACCGTGAGTCTGTCCTGGTTCGTGCTGCTCACCCTACTGTCATGCGTCTGCTAGCCACAGTTGTCACTGACCCGTCGTTTGAGTCTGCTACTGCGTCTGCCTTAGTCTCTGAGCTTGTTGTCTTTGCTGCTACCTGCCGTCTAGACTTCGCTGCTAGTCTTGTTGCTGAGTCTGAGTCTGTCTGTCCTCCGTACGTCGGGGGTGAGTGTGCTCTTGGCACGGACGTCCTTGAGGATAGGCAGGAGGACCTTGAGTGTCTTGCAGACGCTGCGCCTCATCTCGTGGCCATGCTGCTTGCCCCTAAGGGAGACCCGGATGCTCCAGACATCCCGACCCCGTGCTCTTACGCTGAGGCAATCGCGGGTGAGTACTCCTCTCAGTGGCAGACAGCCATAAACGCAAAGATGGCATCCTGGAAACCCACACACACTTACGTCGACGCAGTTCCCCCTCCTAAAGCGAACGTAGTCGATGGCATGTGGATTCTCAAGGTGAAGCGGCCGCTGGGTTCTCCGCATGTCTTCAAGGCTCGTTATGTTGCACGAGGCTTCAGTCAGCGACAGGGAGTTGACTTCTTCTAGACCTTCTCCCCCACCTCGAAGATGACCACTCTTCGGGTGCCGCTGCACGTTGCCGCTCAGCGTGACTACGAGCTTCACTATCTGGACTTCAACACAGCGTTCTTACAGGGCAGTCTGCCCGAGGAGATCTAGCAGCGCCGCCCACCTGGCTTCACTGGGTCGTTCCGTCTTGGTACCCAGTAGAGCCTCCGCCGGCCAGTCCACGGTCTCCGTCAGGCGCCTCGTGAGTGGCACGACACACTGAGGACGACACTTGCGGCTCTTGGGTTTGCACCTTCGACTGCTGACCTGTCGTTGTTTCTGCGCACCGACACTTCGTTGCCACCGTTCTACATTCTCATGTACATCGACGACTTGGTCTTTGCCACTGCTGACACTGAGGCTCTCGCCCTTGTGAAGTCGGAGCTGCAGAAGAGACACACGTGCACAGACTTGGGTGAGCTGCGCAGCTACCTTGGTCTGCAGATCACCAGGGACAGAGCACGGCCCACCATTACCCTGACTTAGTCACAAATGGTGCAGCATGTCCTTCAGCGCTTCGGCTTCACTTGGTCCTCGCCATAGTCCTCTCCCCTTGCTACAAGTCACTCGCTCTCAGCTCCACGTTCGGACGAGTTCGTAGAGCCGAGTGGTCCGTACCCAGGGCTAGTGGGATGCCTTATGTACCTAAAGACCTGCACTTGTCCTTACCTTGCGTACCCTCTTGGCCTTCTGGCACGCTACGTGGCTCCTGGTAAGCACCAAAAGGTGCACTTTGATGCTACGAAGAGGGTACTGCGCTACTTGTACATCGGGCATGGGGCTCGTGCTTGGAGGGCGGAGTTCAGTTGTTCTCACTGGGCACTCAGACGCTTCTTAGGTTGACGACGTGGCTACGCAGCGGTCGTCACAGGGTTATACCTTCAGCCTTGGCTCTGGCTCCGTTTCTTGGCGGTCTACACGCTCGTCTTCTGTTCTCAGCCCAAGCAACGAGCTCGACGGCGATGGTGAGGTGCTTGCGCTGCTCCGTGGAGAGCCCATTGACCCTCGGCAACCCCACCATGGCGTTGCGCAGACTATCAAGCTCCACCAGCTCCATCACCTCCTCCACAAACTCCTCTCTGACTTCCTTGTCAACATCAGCCAGCAGGCGCAGCCACGCGGAGAAGAGCAGGCTCTCGTGCACCGTCACCTGCGGTGTGTGAATGTCGCTCTGCTCGCAGTACCCCGCCACGTGAGCAAACGTCTCGTGCACCTTGGGGAACCCTGACACGCGCACGTCCCCCTCGATGTACCCCCCGGTCTTCCTCCCTGCCAGCACGTCCATGAGCGTCGTCTTGCCTGCGCCCGACACGCCCACCAGCGCTGTCAGCACCCCGGGGCGGAACGCGCCCGACACTTTGCGCAGCAGCTGCAGGCGTGCGTCGGAGGGGGGGGGGGGGGGGCGCCCTTGGCGCGCATCTCGGCGGGCATGCCGACGAAGTAGTTGACGTTGTGGAAGGAGAGCGAGTGCGGCGCAAATGGCAGCACCATGCCGTGCTTGCCCCCGGTGGACTTGGCCTGGGACTCCACGTCTGGAAATGGGGAGCCAAAGAGGTGCGTGGAGCGGTTTTGAAGCTGATCCAAGACAGTCAACACCACTCACATTCACCTCTACCTAGACCTCTACAACCCCTTACATTTAGCCCCTGTGTGGCTGGTGCAGTAGCGGTCCAAAGCGCTGCCTGCATCCTGCCGAGTGGACCGCTTCCTGTTGCCGCCCGCTGCAACCACCACCTCGCCCGTGCGGGTGGTGTGCTTCGCCTCTATCTGCTCCTCCGACACCACCGGTTGGGGGCGGTCCCACGCTGCATTGACAAACAATCAAAAGGGGGTTTAGAAGAGTGAGAGAGAGAGAGAGGTGAGAGGGCAGGAGAGAAGCAAGCAGTAACACGGAGGTGGCATGATTGGCCTCTATCTGCTCCTCCGACACCACTGGCTGGCGCAGATCCCACTCTCACACATGCAGGGAGAGGCGCACGGGAGAGAGAGAGAGAGAGAGCAGCATAAGAGATTAAGGGCTCAGGATGAATCGGTGCGTTGGGGTGAGTGGTAAGGGAGCAGAGGCTAGAGAGCAGGCAAGTGAGCAGGCAAGAGAGCAAGCAAGAGAGCCGGCAAGAGAGCTGGCAAGAGAGCAGGCAAGAGAGCAAGCAAGAGAGCATGCAAGAGAGCAGGCAAGAGAGAAGGCAAGAGAGTAGTCAAGAGAGCAGGCAAGAGAGCAGGCAAGAGAGAAGGCAAGAGAGCAGGTAAGAGAGCAGGCAAGAGAGCAGGCAAGAGAGAAGGCAAGAGAGCAAGCACAAGAGCAGGCAAGAGAGGCAGGCACGAGAGCAGGTACGAGAGCACGCAAGAGAGCACGCAAGAGAGCATGCAAGAGAGCACGCAAGAGAGCACGCAAGAGAGCAGGCAAGAGAGCAGGCAGGAGAGCAGGCAAGAGACCAGGCAAGTGAGCAGGCAAGTGAGCAGGCAAGAGAGCAGGCAAGAGAGCAGGCTAGAGAGCAGAGTGGAGAATCACGGAGGGCATAGCAGCAGCACCACAAGAGTGGGAGCTTCACAGCTTATTGTTAAGAGAAGCAAGGGTGAGCAAGGTGAGGAGGTTGTGGGAGTAGGATGGAACCAGACAGATGAAACAAGGAGAGAAGGTGTTGAAAGCTTACGATCAAGATAAGCGAGCGTGGCAACAGTGAGGAGGTTGAAAAGCAGGATGTATCCAATGAGTGCCGCCACACCAATGCCGACCCACTTGTCATCCATTGGGATCGAGCGGCTCTCCAGAAACACCTGCCCCATGGTGGCCGTGGTGGGGAAGAGGGGACCTGCGGACTGCAGAGAGGGTACACACAAGGGTACACACAAGGAAGGGCGATGAGGAAACATGAGCAGCTCTCTAGCATATCATCTGGACCATGGTGGCCGAGAGGGAAATGCGTGGAGCTGCAGATTGCAATCAGGGCTGCAGGTGCACACATGGCTTCGCGCACATATGGCATGACTGCAGGCACACACATGACAAGCAATGACAGTAGAAAGAAGGGACATTTGGGCTAGACAATCACACGTGTGTGTGTGTGTGTGTGTTTGTGTGTGTGCGCGCGTGTCTGTGTGTGCGTGCGCGTGCGCATGCCAACAGTTGGAAACAACGAGACAAACACTTATTACAGATGGGAACCCCACGTGCCAGCACTCGTAGCCGAGGGAATAGGAATCCCAGGAGCACTCACGACGTTCCTGCGGGGCGCGAGAAACTCGTTAACAGCGAGGGCGTTCTGCGCGTACATGAGAGGCGAAATCCAATACGCCCAGATCCACACGTTGCTGATGTCGGCTGGAAAAGGGCCGTGGGGGGGGGGAGGAGGAGGGAAGGGGAGTAGTGAGAGGGCGAGGAGAGATTAAGGGGGCTTGCGGGCCGTACATCAATGGAGGTGATGGAAGGGGAAGACAGGGGCAACCGAGCTCTCCAAGCATGCGGTAACCAAGCCGGTCACCCAGCTCTTTACACACTCTAGTATTGGCCTGAGCGTGACAAAGCCAACATGCGGACCTTGACCATGCTGCGGCCCGCTGCTGCTCACAAGGGTATGTTCAAAGTGCGCCTCACCCACCTTTATTGATGGCAAACCCACCAAGCAGGACAAGGAGAATGCCGGAATAGGAGCTAAAGGTGGTGGAGACCACCATGTTGAGCCCCGATGCTCCCACTCCCTACATACGTGTTATAAACACGTCTTGCACGTTTTGCAATGACGAACCCGCCCATGACGACAAAGAGGATGCCGGCGAATGAGCCAAAGGTCGTGAACACCACCATGTTGGGACCCACTGCTCCTATGGGGCGGAAGAGAGAAATGGAGACCTGGTGGATGAGGAAGAAGAGCAGCATCTGCATGAAGAATCTGCAAGGAAGGGCAGGGGGTTGGTGGGGAGGGGGAAGGGGAAGAGGAAGGAAAAAGGGATGTTGCATGCTGAGATGGAAGGACGATATGACGACCTGGTGGGATCCGGCAAAATAAAGACATGTGCATGAAGAACCTGGTGGGGGGAGGAGGACAGAACGAGAAGGGAGGGAGGAGGAAAGAGTGAAGTAGCATGAGGAGAATGAGGTGCATGATGGTAGAGGAAAATGGGCGCCTGATGGATGAGGAAGAATAGGAACATGAAGGTGGGTGAACGAGGAAAGGACCATAAAAAAAAATGGAAGCGGGTCCAACCGACAACTGCTCGCCCATTTTTGCACTTACCTGCCCGGTTCATTCGCTCAACTGGCCCATTCATCCACTCACCTGCCCGGTTCATCCACTCACCTGCCCGGTTCATCCACTCACCTGCCCAGTCCATCCACTCACCTGCCCGGTCCATCCACTCACCTGCCCGGTCCATCCACTCACCTGCCCGGTCCATCCACTTACCTGCCCGGTCCATCCACCTGCTCGGTTCATCCACTCACCTCCTCGGTTCATCCACTCAACTGCTCGGTTCATCCACTCACTTGCTCGGTTCATCCACTCACCTGCTCGGTTCATCCACTCACCTGCTCGGTTCATCCACTTACCTTCCCAAATCCGGTGCAAAGCCAATGGCATGATAGGTGAAGGCGGTCCAGATGATGGAGGCGCACTTCATTCACTCACCTGCCCGGTTCATTCTTTCGCTCACCTGCCCAGTCCATTCCCTCACCTTTCCCCTCTATTTGCCTACCTGCCTGGTTCCGGTGCAAAGCCAATCCCATAGTAGGTGAAAGCAGTCCAAATAATGGAGGCCCAGGCAGAGAAGGGCTTGGAGAGTAGCTCTAAGGGCACCGCCCACGCCCACGCGGGGTACAGAAACGCGTCCCTCTGGCGGTAGAAGATGGGCAGGCGGAAGTTGACTAGCGGGAGCTCCGTGAACCCATTGAAGAGCATCATGACCACACCGAAGAACGTGGCTCCGAGGTAATAGTTGTCGTCTTGCAGGGAGAGGTCGAGGGTGGTGCGGAAAAAGGCGGTCATGGTGACGAGCGCCACGAGGATGATCTAAATGGTCTGGGCTGCGTAGAGGACGGAGTTGCGCTGCAGGAGCAGATACTCCCGGGCGAAGACTGCGCGGAACATCTCCGAGGTGGGCAGCGCGTGGCGCTTGTGGGCGGGGGCGTTGGGAGGGCTCTTTTCTTTTGGGAAGGGCACCAGGTGGGGGTTGGTGTGAGGGGTGAAGGATGAGAAACGAGGAGGGGGATAAAAATAAAGTTGAAAGGAGTGGCAAAGCTGTGGGGATAAGGGGCAAGCGCTGGGCTTTGGGAGAAGTGCGTGCACACACTGCGCACAGATCAGCAGCACTTGGCACGTACCGAGAGGCGGGCAGCAATGGCCTTGCGGATCTGCGTCTCCTTAAATGCTGCCTCAAATGCTTGCACCGGCACATAGTGATACGGCTGGATTTTCCTACCCGCCCCACCATCTGCCCCAGCCGCTCCCCCCCTCGAGTACCGCCCCTGGTCCTTCATGGACGTCACCTCCTACAAGAAATCCGCCTCCCTTTCCTGGCGGGGCACTCAAACCCGAGGCGGGAGAAGAAGGGCAGCACCTGCTCCCTGGGCCCATGGAACACCACGTGGCCTTCTGCAAGTAGCAGCACGTCGTCAAAGAGCTCGTAGGTCTCGGGGGCGGGCTGGAGTAGTGCCATGAGTGTGGTGGCGGCGTGGAGGTGCGTGAGGTGGCGCAGGCAGCGCATGATGAGGAAGGTGGTGGAGGAGTCCAGCCCTGTGCTGATCTCGTCCATCAGGAGAACTTGCTTGGGGCCCACGAGGGACACGCGTGTGGTGACTCGCTTCCTTTGCCCGCCTGAGATGTCGCGCAGCATGTTATTCCCCACCACTGTATCCGCACAGACGTCCAAGCCTAGAATCGGACACAGGGGGGAGAGGGAAGGTGGAGGAAAGCGGCAGAAGCAGGAAGAGTGAGTTCAATCTGCGGCATGTTAAGCACTCTCCCTTTACCTGACCACTTGGCCTATCATGGCCACTATCACGATCGTAGCAGCATCTAGGGGTGGACAACAACAGCCACTGCCTCACCCGAATACTCTATCACTGCAGCAGCTTTGCGAGTGGGTTATTCAGCGAGGTCGTCCTGGTGGTGGAGGTTATCATGCTGGAGGTGCTGGACAGCAGCGGTAGCCCGCGCACCCGGACACTCTCTCGCCACAGAAAATCCATGAGTGGGTAGTTCAGCGTGGCCATCTAGGTGGTGGAGGTTATGGTTTTATGGGTACTGGATAGCGGCGGTAGCAGCGTCAGTAGAAGACCTTCTCCACGCAGCGGCTTCGCGACTGTGTTTCTCAGCGAGGCATCCCTGGTTATGTAGAGTCTACTGCCGCTCTAGGTGCTAGTGAGTTTGCTGCAGCTCTAGGTGCTAGTGCGTCTACCGCCACTAGTCCCACCTTAGCTGAGGCCTTGCACACTTTAACATTTGACTCAGGCGCGTCACGTTGCTTCTTTCGTGATTGCACCACAGTCACACCGCTCGCAGCACCTGTCCTAGTCTCACTGGCTGACCCCGCTGGGGGCCCAGTCGTAGCGCGAGCCACTACTATCCTCTCGTGTCCGGCAGTCCCGTCCGGATCTCTTTCAGGCCTCCACCTCCCCTCGTTCTTGACAAACTTGGTGAGCAACGCAGTCCTTCAGGATGTTTGGGTTGATACCTTTATCCCTGGAGGGCAGCGTGTGGCGATCTGTAAGTGCCCCCGGACTGGACGTCACCTTGCTACGTTCACTCGGCAACCTGGGTCTAGTATGTACACCCTGACCACTGCGTCTGTACAGGTGGCTACGTCAGGTCAGGTGGCTGCGTTGAGTCAGGTGTCTGCGTCTGGTCACTTCGCTGCGTCGTGCTCGTGTTGGGTACTCTCCCATCAGACTCTTCTCTGGCACCACCGACTCGGTCACCCCTCACTGCCGCGTCTCCGCAGCATGCACTCCCGTCTCCTTGTCTCTGGCCTTCCCAGGTCCCTGCCCCCCCTCCCGTGCTCGCCTGCCCCCCTACGTCGAGGGGCGGCAGCGCGCCGCTCCTCACTCCTCCTCGTTTCCTCCGACCACTGCTCCTCTGCAGACTCTCCACATGGACGTGTGGGGACCGGCCCATGTCAGTGGGACGGATCAGGAGCGCTACTTCATGCTGGTCGTTGACGACTACACGCGCTACACCACGGTCTTCCCCTTGCGCAGCAAGGCGGCCGTCAGCGGTGTTTTGATCCCCTGGATCCGCGCTACTCATCACCAGCTGCGCGAGCGGTTTCGGCGGGACCTTCCGGTCCTGCGTCTGCACTCTAACAGGGGCGGTGAGTTCTCTTCCGGCCTCCTTGCGGAGTTCTGTCGAGACGAGGGCATCATCCAGATGTTCACGCTCCAAGCCTCTCCGCAGCAAAATGGGATTGCTGAGCGTCGCATTGGCTTGATCATGGAGGTTGCTCGTACCTCCATGATCCATGCGGTTGCTCTCCATTTTCTGTGGCCGTTCGCGGTATGATACGCCGCGCATCAGCTCAACCTCTGGCCCCGTGTCTCTTTGCCAGAGACCTCGCCCTCACTCCGTTGGACGGGAAAGGTTGGCGATACGTCGACGTTTCGGGTCTGGGGCGCACTCTCCCTTGTTCGCGATACCACCGCGAACAAGCTCTCTTCTTGCACTCTCCGCCGCGCCTTCTTGGGCTTCCCCACCAACGCCCCACCGTGGCAGTTATACCACCCTCGCGAGCGTCGCGTGCCCTCCTCCCAGGACGTCACCTTTGACGACTCGCTCCGTTTCTACAGGCTCCACCCGTACGCGTCCCACCCGGTCCCCATGGCACCTCTCTTCCTGGCACCAGTTCCCCCCCGGGTATAACCCCTCCCCCCACAGGGTCCTGCTCCCTCAGGTGTGTCTTGGTTGAGCCTTGTGAGGTCTCTTTTGACTCGGGCCCGGCTGAGGGGGGTGACCTTGCCGTTGACGACACGGCGGCCACTCGTCGCTCTCCAAGCTTGGAGACCCCTCCTGGTTTTCCGCCTCGACCGTCTTCACCACCTCTGCAGCCTGTAGCTGTGGACACTGGTGCTGCTGGGGGTGGTAACACTAGGGGTGAGGACGCAGGAGGTGCTGGTCCTGGGGTTGCTGAGACTGGGGGTACTGAGACTGGGGGTGCTGGTCCTGGGGGTGAGGGTTCTTGAGGTGCTGAGACCGGGGTTGCTGCGAGTCCTAGTGGTGGAGGGGCTGTGGGTGCTCCTACTGCAGATCCTGGTGTTGGACAACAGCAGCCACCTAGTCGACCCGAGACACCCTCACCCCAGCAGCTTCGTGAGTGGGCCGTTCGGCGAGGCCGCTCTGATGCTGGAGCTTGAAGTTACCTCGACGCTGGAGCGGCTGGTGCTGGAGGTACTACTGGAGCTACTAGTGCTGGAGCTGGTGGTACTGGAGGTACTGGAGGTGCTAGAGCTGGTGGTACTGAAGGCACTGGAGGTGCTGGTGCTGTTAGTCCTGGAGGTGCTCGTACTAGAGGTGTTGGAGCTGTCGAAGCTGATGGTACTGAAGGTACTGGAGGTGCTGGAGCTGCTGGTCATGGAGGTGCTCGTACTAGAGGTGCTGGAGCTGCCGGAGCTGGTGGTGGTGCTGGTGCTGAGGTGCTGAAGGTGCTACTGGAGGTGCTGGAGCTAGAGGTACTGGAGCTGCTGGAGCTGCTAACGGTATGGGTACTGCGCCGAGCCGACCGTTTTTCTACCCGCAGCCGCAGTTGTCCCTACCACCGCCTAACTCAACCCTTCGCCAGGTTCTTAGTTTCCTGTCTTCCACTATCCTCACTCCACCTCTCCTGTGTCCACTGACAGACTAGTCTCAGCCATAGCTACTGCTTGGCTCTCCGCTGCCTGCTCCTACTCCTCAGAGTGAGGTGACTTAGTCCTTGACCGAGGGTCGTGAGCCTGAGACTCGTGCTTCCACACCTGATAGTGCTCGACTTGTCGCTTGTCCTTGTCCTCCTGCTATCCTAGGCACTCACGTTCTGGCACTTCGTACTTCCTCTGTTCCACAGCGTGTTGCCCTGCCGTCTCCTCTGGTGTCCTCTCTTCCTGACGTTCCTGACCCAGAGTCCGACCTTACTCGTGCTGCCAGTCATACTGTCACTCGTCTCCTTGCTACTATCGTCACTGACCGTGGCTTTGAGTCCACTGCTGCGTTTTCCCTAGTCACTGAGCTCGTCGACTTTGCTGCTAGGAGTCGTCTCGACTACGTTGCGAGTCTTGTTACCGAGTTTGAGTCTGTCTGTCCTCCGTTCGTCGGGAGTGAGCCCGCTCTTGACCCTGACGTCCTTGAGGACAGGCAGTTTGAGCTTGAATATCTCGCGACCGCTTTACCTTGTTTCGCATCCGTGCTCCTTTGCCCTGAGGGAGACCCGGATGCACTTGACATCCCTACCCCGCGCTCTTACGCTAAGGCGAGCGAGGGTGAGTACTCCTCTCAGTGGCAGACAGCCACGGACGCAAAGATGTTCCTGGAAGTCCGCAGGCACCTGCGTCGACGAGGTTCCTCCTCCGGGGGCGAACATAGTCGAAGGCATGTGGATTTTCAGAGTGAAGCGGCCGCCGGGTTCTCCGCCTGCCTTCAAGGCACGTTACGTTGCTCGAGGCTTCAGTCAGCGACAGGGGGTCAACTACTTTCAGACCTTCTCCCCCACCTCGAAGATGACTACTCTTCGAGTGTTGCTGCACGTTGCAGCACAACGTGACTACGAGCTGCACTCCCTCGATTTCTCTACAGCTTTCTTGCATGGCAGCCTTCACGAGGAGATCTGGCTGCGCCGCCCACCTGGCTTCACTTGGTCGTTTCCTGCGGGTACCCACTGGAGCCTCTGGCGGCCAGTCTACGGTCTTCGCCAGGCGCCCCGCGAGTGGTACGACACACTGAGGACGATATTTGTGGCTCTTGGGTTTGCTCCTTCTACTGCTAACCCGTCACTTTTTCTACGCACCGACACTACCATTTCGCCGTTCTACGTTCTCGTGTACGTCGACAACTTGATATTTGCTACTGCTGACACTGAGGCGCTAACCCTAGTGAAGGCGGAGCTGCACGAGAGACGCACCTGCATTGACCTGGGGAGCACCTGGAGCGAGGAAGAGCGGCGGGGGGGGGGGGAGAGGGGCAGTGCGGTAGAGGAAGAGACGGTAAAAGGGAACCGACTCGTCGAACGTGACGTCCTGAGAGGAGAAGACACGGCGCGAGGTGGGGTGGTAAAACTGCCAACGAGGCGCGTCAGGGACAAAGCCAAGGAAGACACAAGGAACAGCGCGGGCGGAGAGCTTGTCCGTGGTGGTATCGCGGACAATGGCACAAGCACCCCGGACCCAGAAACACGACGCATCGCCAACCTTCCCTGTCCACAGCAGTGTGGGCGAGGTCTCCGGCAAGGAGACACGGGGCCAGAGGTTGAGCTGATGCGCGACGTACCAGACCGCAAACGGCTACAGAAAATGGGGAGCAGCCGCATGGATCATGGAGGTATGAGCGACCTCCATGACTAAGCCAATGCGACGCTCAGCAACCCCATTCTGCTGCGGAGAGGCCGGAAGCGTGAACGTCTGGCGGATACCGTGCTCCGCACGGAAGGCTGCCAAGAGGTCAGAGGAAAACTCCCCACCTCTGTCATAGTGCAGACGCAGGACGGGAAACTCTGTCCCAAACCGCTCGGGGAGCTGGAGATGAGCAGCGTAGATACAAGGGATCAAAACATCAAGGACCTCACCCTTGGTGCACAAGGGGAAGACCGTGGTGTAACGCGTGTAGTCGTCGACGACCAGCAAGAAGTACCGCTCGTGGCCCTGTCCACGAACACGG